TTCGATTGAAGTAATTTTCAACTGACAAGCTGGAGAAAAATTCGATTGAAATCGACCAAACATTTTTAATAGATAAGAAGTCAATTCGAACGTGAAAGACAAATATTCTCTTTCTTCTCTCTCGTGTTTCTGTAAGGTGAAAAATATTCAAAAATCTCCAAATACCGACCAGTCAAAAAGAAAAACAATTTTGAATCACCAATCAAATTGAAGTTCATTCATCGCTGTTCACTATACAATAGAGAAACAACAATAAGAAAAACAACAAAATCAAATTATTCTGTATAACGAAAAGTTCAACTTCCTTCTCTCCCCGATTATTGAAACAGTTGACTTTATAATAAACTTTGAACATATCTTTCGATGAGGCATATTCGTTTTCCCTTTGACGTTCTTCTCACTATTATTTGAAATCATTTTTCCTTTGTAGTAAAGCATTTTCCCGTTGTCTTTGCATTTTCCTTTACACTAAAAATATTTATATATAGATATATATGATCGACATTTTTCGTTCCTGTTCGAGCATTATTCCTATAAGTTGAAGTCATTTTTCTGCTGCCTTTTCATTTTTGCATTCACTATGTATGTATAGTACAGATAGGTCTCTTTTTCGTGTAACAACTTAATGTATATCATCATGCATAAAATAACATTTTTGACTTGAGCGTCTTTCTATAAGAAAAGTGTTAGATATGTGAATAGGTATATATGATATGACGTAAATTTTAGAGTCTATGGGGGGGGGGGGGGGGGGGGGGGGGTGTGTGTTGGCACGTATTCCTTTTCTGAATGGTATTCATGGAAGAATGAGATAGGAATGAAATATGGACGCATACGCATATATATATATGACGGTCGTCCTATATGAACAGAATGGAAAAAAATTCATTTTTGACGTGGAGGGCATTTTTCCGCTCTAAATGAGCATTTGTCTCACCGATCGATTTGTTGCCCACTGCTGCAAAATCGAGCAAACAAATGTCGAACAGTGCTAAAGAAATCGTTTGATATGCTTAAAATTGAAAAATATTTCAGTATGAGTCATAGACAATGAATGATTACAGTTAAGTATATAAGGAAACTTCCAAGCAAACAATAATCATAATATGTCATCATTTCAAAGTTCAGAGTGACTACTAGTAACATTTTTGAAAATATTTTGTTATATATTGTTACATTTAAAAGTACTAAAATAGGGTGTGGGTGTGTAATAATGAATAGATAATTTCACACCCACACCCACACCCTTCAAAAACACTGAAATTTGGGCTAACTTGGAAAAGCTCTACCTTCCACAATTCTGAAAGGCGAGGTCTGATATTTTGATCACTAGTAGTGGCCACTTAGGTCTATTCAGAAAAAAATTTCAAGAAATTCTGACGTGTAGTTTTCGAGAAAACCTGGTCCCAATATAGGGTTTTTCAAGATCCCTGGCCCCTTTAGATCTATATATCTAGAGTGTAGAGTATTTTGAAGAACTTTGACACACTATGTTTGAATCAACATAGTGTAAGCTTCATTTTGATCCTAATATGTTAGGGTCTCTAACCAGTTATATAAATTTTATAGGCAGTTCAATTTAAGCATAAAGTATTATTTTTCCAAATTTTGCAAATGCTCCCCAACAATGAGTTCTAGAGATACAGTTCTGAAAATTTTTTTACAAAGATAACTTTTTATGCTCTATCCAATGGTTTAATCAAAATTTCCAAAGAACGTTCACGAAGAATAAAAGAGACAGATTCCGGGGGCCGTTTTTCGATAAAATCGACTTTTGGGCTTGCTCTGCTGCAGTTAGCGCATGATTTGAAACAAAACTAACTATCAATTCCTACACAACTCGACGAGTGCTACAAGACTAATATACTTAAAATTTGCCGGCTGAAAGTCGATGTAAATCTGGGAGGAGCTGCGTGGAAGTACCCACAAGTCGTTTCATGTCATTACTGTACCTATTCGATGTAGAAGACAACTGATCAGAGTCATCCTTTATCTTACACAGCATCAACGATCAAAATTTTAAAGCTATATCCGGCAAGCTGATAAAGCTTCCTTTCTCCGATGACAGTAGACTACATCTTTATAGTAGAAGAGCACCACTTGTATAAAAAATACCTTTGACTGATCAAATACTCCAGCGTCCTATCCGATCGTACTATTCTTTTATCTTAAATCTCCTTAAAAATACCAATAATGCAAGTTTTAACAACCAAATGTTGTGCTTTGTAGCTTTTTCACAGCAAAAAGAAACACAAGCTCCATTTGATAATTCAAAAACACACTTTGAATACTACGTATAAGCTTTTTACATCAAGATCTTTTGTGGAATAAGCGAAGATGATACAATGTAGATCAATCAAAAAGCAGCTAACCGTTGCGATGCTATAGAGTCACGGACTGCTAGCTTTGACAGAAACACATAAAATAGACAGTAGTGTCTACTTTTCAGCGTGATGATTCCTTTGAAGAGATCCACTATCTAGCGCAACTGATCGTTCTGATGCAACAAAACCGTTTATTCACTCAATATTTATATCTCTTGAGTATTTGAACAAACACTTTTCTGTTTGTACGAGTCACAATTAATAGACAAAACTAAAACATGTGTTCTGATAGTGTTTTCAAAAATAACAGAATTCTCACAAAAAACAAACAGAATCCTTGGTTCTCGAAAGATACTGTTACCAACATCAATTCTTCCATGAATTACGTACCGGAAATATTCAATACTGCCAAATGGGACTCTCATGTTTCTTGCTTATTAAAAACATCTGACAATTGAATGTTGCTGGCGGCACGACAACCTTACACTTTTGTCATTTGAATGTTGATTGAAGAACAAAAAAACATTAAGGTGTCGGCCAAGCCTTCTCTAGGCAAAAAACAAATCTATTTCTCATACGAAGAGTGAGAAAGCAGAAAAACAATTGGTTTTTATTCTCTCTGTGCAAGAAGGCAGTCGATTACACTGAATTTTACTGGAGTGAAGCCGTCGACATATTAGCAGATCTGGAATCTTCTATTATGTCCTCCAGAAAAGTCAATATTTTTGATACTCTGAATGGTAGTTTTTAATTTCAATCGTTTTATGTTCAATAAATAATTGTTCAACGAGTTTATTTGACTTTTTTCATCTTTTACGACGAAAAAAAAACAGATACTATTTCAGCGCAAGACAAAAACTAAAGCATGGACATCAAGAGTGTTCTTTAAACAATACAATTAATCAGACACTAAGAGTTTGATAAAATTTGTAATAGTGGTATTTTCCACAAACAATAAGATAGATCAGTAGCAAGAATATATCATTTCCTACAAATAAACAGCTTAGAGAAAAAGGAATTTAGATCTTGTTAAATTCATGCGTTTTAAACTGGAGGAAAACGGTGCACTTTGTACTTGAAGCAATTCCCAGTTAGTTGATAGCATTTCTATCCACTTCAAAGTACCTCTAAATACTTTTAAACTGATTATAGCGTTAAAACATACCATTTCTTTCGAGTTTTAAGTCAGCTGCTTACGTTGGTCTTTGGTAAATATACGTGACATTCGTTCGAACCGGAATGTCAAAACACCTTATCGTGCCGAAAGTTTTGAACTACGATCTGAACGAGTTAAGAAATGTCATTCAAATGTATTTTTGTCGACTCGATCCAATGGTGTGCACATTATTAAATTCTGCTGTGGATCGATTCTCAGTTATCTTTTGGCTTAGCTATACAAAATTCTGATTTTACTGTAGGAAAATCCGCGTTAAAAAATGTCAATTTTCTCATTCAGTTTTTTCCCATGATATGCAATAAAACAAGATAAAATATACACAATTGTACATAGAAAATCGTTCTATCCCAACCTAAATATATATGCTGGTGCTTGGTCAAAAATCATTTTGGAACTTATAGGCGCTTTGAAAATTGTAAATCTGGCAAAATCGGATAAAAAGTGGACAAACGTCGTACGGCAAAGTGGTGAAACTACGAAGACTAAACGGCGAGAAGCCTCTAGTAATATTTAAGTTCAAAAGCTCGATTTTTGTTCTATGACTCGCTTCGAAAATATCACCACTTTGTGCAGAACTTAATTCTGCATCTGACCCAATCACTTAGTTCAACTATTCAATAATTGAATAGTTGAATTCAAGTTTCAATTATTACATGTATGTTAAGATCCTGATCATACTTGTATTTTTTTTAAGCATTCAAAATGCCTAATTCTGAACAGTTCCGCTTAGGAACCTGATCGAAGTTGAGCAGAAGTTCTTAGTTGAAGATTCTGACTAATTTTGTTTTATTTCTGGTATGATCCTTCTCTGATATAACTATAACCCTTGGCAGGATCTTCGTATCAGAATTTCGAACAAGTATTGACTCAAATCTAATGAAATCTTGATGAAATTCTCTCCACGATTTTTATCAGGATCCTGCACGGACGAACAGTGAATCTTAGTAAGGTCCTACAAACTCAATTCAGAAAAAAATCCGAGAAAGAACTTGAACAAATCTTGGATCGAATCCTAAGTCAAAACTAACAAGATTTTTGAGATTTATGATGATTTTCAAAGATCATTCAAGACTGTCTCAGGAAATGGACATGGCTCAGTTGAATAAACAGTACCCTGTAAAGATCTTTGCTTATATTCTTACATTTTCTTATCAAAATCCTACGATTAGGATTGATTTTGTCTTGCCAAGTCTGGAAACACATGTTCTTGAAAAGTTCTCAACAAGATCGTGTTTGAAGCTTTGCCGGATTAGCCAGTTTCGTATTCTGAATGATCTTTTTTATTTTCTTTTCAAAATTTTCGTCTGATATGGCTATCACTTCTGACAGGATCCTGATACGAAAATCTTCTCTCATAATCTTGAAAGGATTCTTGATAGGATCTTGAGTAAATTCTGATAGGATCCAGTATTCTCCACTTAGAAAAATAACTGAGCAAGAACTTGAAGAAATCATGAACAGGATTGAAACTAGGGAAAGGTCGAACGACATTCATAATGTTAGTTTATTTGAAATGATTCATATAGTTCTGTACTATTCAAAATTCCACCATTACTTCCACCAGCAACTAGCACCTTTCCATTTATTAATACGGTTGCTGTGTGACCAAAGCGTCCAATATTCATCTCACCCGCAGTTATCCAAGTTTCTGTTGATGGATGATACAACTCAGCACTAGCAGTTAGATAACCACCACTAAATCCACCAGCAACTAATACATCCCCATTTATTAATATGGATGCTGTGTGATCTTCTCGACTAATATTCATGCTACCAGTAGTTGTCCACGTTTCTGTTGATGGATCATACAACTCTGCATTATAGACATAATCATCAGTTAGTCCACCAGCAACTAACACTTTTTCATTTGTTAATACAGATGCTGTAGGAGTCCATCGAGCATGAGTCATGTTGTTTGTAATTGTCCAAGTTTGTGTTAATGGATTATACAACTCAGCACTATTTAGATGCGTATCATCTAATCCACCAGCGACTAATACTTTTCCATTGGTTAAGACAGATTGGATATACCCTGCTCGTTGATAATTCATATCACTAGTATATGTCCAAGTGTCTGTTAATGGATCGTACAACTCAACACTCTTTATATAATCTGTACCATTATATCCGCCAGTAACTAATATCTTTCCATTTGTTAATACGGAGGCTGTGTGTTCTTTTCGTGCAGTATTCATACTACTAGTCATTGTCCAAGTTGCTGTTGATGGATCATATAGCTCAGTACTATTTAGAATATCACCAATATCATTTTCTCCACCAGTAACTAACACCTTTCCATTTGTTAATATGGAGGCTGCGTGTTCTGCTCGTGCAATATTCATGCTACCAGTCATTGTCCAAAATCCTGTTGATGGATCATACAGCTCAACAGTATTCAGAGAACCAGCATCATTCCGTCCACCGGCAACTAGCACTTTTTCATCTATTAATACGCATGCTGTATGGTCTTCTCGTTCATAATTCATGTTACCAGTATAAGCCCATCCTAGATAAAAGTATTTAGATCTATTCGCTCTGAATAGAATGTGTATTAATGAACATTCGGAATCACTTAATTCTATGTGGAATTTTTCGATTTTGTGAAATGAAAATGATTCCTTGCTTTAGATGGAAGTGTTTTTGCATTTCTGCAGACAGCTAAAAGTCCTAAATTTGTTGCGAGAAATCGTTCTTGGTATGGTATGGTATGATAGTACTAATAATATGTAGCTTCTATTAATTACAACCGCCGTAATAAAACTCCCCAACTGGAAAAGATACCATGGAAAACGGACGAACCCATAAAATTTCAGACGAATTCTCACAGTCAGAACCAAGCTCTGTTTTCATCTCTGTTTTTAGCTTGTTTCACGCCAATTTGGTAGTCAGGATGACGCCCAGATATAGTTATCCTTTTCGATTCCGTTGTAGGCTAAGAGAGACGGTGACTTTATCACGACCAAATCAGACGAATAACATTCCTTATTTCTAACTGCCAGATCCTGACTTTTTGAGTCGGCATCCTGTGATCGATTCGATAGCAAAATATGAACCTATCATATATCCTTTTCATTCGCATGATATCATTGATCTTTAACCAGAGATGGGCAAGTCAAGTCAAAAATGACTTAAGTCAAAGTCAAGTCAAGTCATTTTTGACTTGCTTGACTTGACTTGAATTTTTTTTAATGACTTGCGACTTGACTTTGACTTGACTTTGATTTTTCATTTTTTGACTTGATTTGACTTGTGACTTGACAAAAAATACAAGTCAAGTCAGATACTCTTTGCAACTTCAATGCATATTAGATTCTCATCAGGTTATATTTGACCTGTGCGTATAAAATAAGGTCCCAAACAGGCTAGACAAATAAACAATGAATTAAGGAATTCTTAATTCATTGTTTATTCGTCTAGCCTGTTTGGTCTCGCAAAAGAAACTATCTGACATTGACATTCGCAAGTATATAAGCAATTATACGGCTGAGTGTGCATCATATGTGACCTATTGTGTTAAACTGCTTAGATCAATTACAACTTGTATTGCAAGTGAATATGAGTGATTTAATTTTTTTTCAATAAATTGATACATAACTAAATTATGAAATTTAAAAAAAATTCAAGTCAATGACTTGAGACTTGACTTGGCTCTCTTTGACAAATGACTTGACTTGACTTGAGTGAAAAAATAGCTGACTTGTCCATCTCTGTCTTTAACCACCAATTCTAAGAAATATTGAGGGCGCTTCAAAATGAATATTTACTCTCTAGTAAAAATGCTTTGCTCATAAAAGTTTCATCGAAAATACTGATCATTTTTTGTCACCTAGTCTCGCTGTCTGCTCACTGTGCCCTCTCCCTCTCATAGAGGTCTTAGAATGGTCACTGATGAAACAACCAACAAAATAGGACATTTATATCTGCGATATGTCATTAGTGTGGACAGATCGATCAGACGCACTTTCGCTTGTGATAGCAGTTTAGTCACTCCAGTGACCATTGAGAAGAGGAAAGTGATTTGAAAAATCCTGTTTTGGACCTCTCCTAAATCTGATGCAGTTCGACCAAAAAGCGTCGCAGAGAGCTCGGGAAGGTCTTGTTTCGTAAAGAATAATTTGCGGTATCATCCCATGTAATGTGAGCAAAATTTTATTTTCCCACTGTAGCTGCTACAAAACTAGCGTTTTAGTATTCTGAAAGTCTTCAATGATCATTCTGTGTATTATGATTGATACTGTAAGAAATAAATTGGTTCTTATTTACCAAAGCAATTAGTGCAATGTGCACCTATATACGTGCTCAAATGCGTAAGAAAATGACATTGGCTTTGGAAACCTACCGGAAAGAGCGTTTTCTTTGGCACACTCCTGGCTGATTTCACTGATCTTCTCGCAGAAACTGAGCAGAACTACGCCAGAAGACACGTCGTTTTCGGAGGGATCCTGTCGAATTTGAAGGCAAAATCATCGGCTTAAAATATTCATGGAATTCAGCAGTGGTATTTGACAAGCTTCGACTGTAGAGCTGTTTGATATTAGCAAGTTAAGTAATCGCATAGTCTTTTTTTAAGTTGTCGTCAGTACTCGTAGTGCTCTATCATGCACTAACGGCATATTACTGTAGGATATGATCGGATCGTAATATTAAAATCTAATAAAATTAGCAGGTATCTCTTGGTTCTACCTGATTCAAAACTGGGATTTAACGAAGTTAAGGACCGTTACTCTAAAGCTTACTAGACTGCTGAGTTGTGGTCGTAGGTATCGTTGATGATGATGCTAATGATGTTGGTGCTGTTGTTGTTAATGGTGGTGTTGTAGTGGTAGTCGTGATTTCTGATTTCTTCGGTCGAAAAACGGCGAATTTTAACACTAGAGAGAGGGTAACTGCAAGTATTGTTAGAACAATAAAAGAGATAAAAATAATCTTAGCCCAACGATGATGCCACCATTTATGTGGGCCAATATTTTTAGTGCCGAACTCTGTGTAAGCTTGGTTATTATGCATACTATGTTCCTCAAAAAATTTAAACTTAAAAAAAGAACAAGTTATTGTTTGAAACTGCTTTATGTTCGTTTTATCACGCTCCCACAAGTAACAAAGATAAGTAATTCTTCTCCACAAAAACTATTGCTATAGTCTTATCTTTACATAATAAATTTCATGTGTCAGCATAGTAGCACAAAACTGCGCTTCACCATAAAGTTTTTTGGCGTCAGATGTCACAGCTCAGATGAAAAAATCAAAACCCTAAACTGGTTCTAGACCACAGTTTGTAGTTGTTGGGGATTTTAACAATGACACTCAACTGAACATTGTCGTTGGATGTGGGTGTGGGTGTGGGTCAGGGTTACCAGATCTCCCGAAATGACAGGAAAAATTTCGAATTTTGACTTTTTCCGACGGCGCTCCGAATTTCCTAATTCTTCCGAATCAGGATTCTTTTCCGAATTTCACTTTTTACTTCGCTATTTACTCAGATGAACATATAACAGCTGTTGACCTTTATCGAATTATTTCTGATTTAATTTAAAAAATTTGAGCAACGACTGGATGATCATTATTTTGGCAATAAATCACATACGATACTCAATTATTTAAAGATTCTGATAAGAATAAAGCTGAAGAATTACAACAATCATTTGAATCATTCATCAAAGTTACTATTGAATATAGTAATTCATATTCTGATAAAGATCGCAATTTCCATGAAAAATTATTGGTTTTTGATTGCCATTCTGCTTGATTTCTCATATGGAAATATGTTATGAACGTTCTTGATCTGATCAAGATTGATGATTCAAATAAAAATGAACTATATAATGAATATTGTGAACTAAAATTTATGTACAATAATTTGAAAAATAAAAACGTGATATGGAATAAATAATAAAATCATGTATTTCAAATAAAAATGCTCATAATGCATAATCAACAGCATACAACGAAGGAAGTCGTTTATGTGATGACAGTGATAATGAAGATCTTTTATTACATGATAAAAAAGACACAGACGAAAACATTCATTCTGATCAGTTATGGTCATATTTAATAAATCTTAAAGATACAACATCGAATATTCAAACAATTATATATACGTTTTTTCTCTATTCCATATAGTAATCCACATGTTAAATCTATATTTAGTCAAATGAATCATTTATGGACCAATTATCGCAATCGTATGGATATTCAATTAGTTGCGGCTGAGTTGAAAATTCGAAAAAATTCAAATATTCCACGCAATAATTTTTATAAATCTATAATATCTCAACAAGATCTGTTAAAAGCCATAGCAACAAATAATAAGTTCGAAACGAGGGTGGATGTGGGTGAGCGGCGATGTAGATGTGGATATATCAGTGAGAAGACCAAAATCCACACCTGTTCACACACACTCTAATTTTATTTTCAATCTGAAAATCTAAAAATGTAAACACTTCAGTTATAATAGGATCTTATTACTTTTGTGTAAGAGATTACAAATAGATGGGAAAAGGTTTACAAAAAATACTCTGGAATCATCCTGAAAAGTTTTTTTCAGCTCGTAGCAAGCGAAAAATCATTCTTGATATTGATCTTATTACCTAGAAACAGTATTTGCCGATGGTTCTCTTATGAAAAAGAAATTTAAGTCCCTAGTACTGGTCAAAAGTTCAGCTTGTCTGGTAGGCAATTGATGGGAGATATTTAAATTTTTTATTGCCAAGTGATTTATGGGACAGTATATAAAATTTATATTGTTTTTTTTCTCGAAAGCCTATATTTTCTAAAAAGCGATTGGTTTTAGTAGTAAAATAACATTTCAACTTTTTTTCTCTATAAATAAATTGTATAAAAATACATTATGAGTGATGTCGATAATATTCTTTTAACACAAATACGGTCAGTTTATTATCAAAAATGTTAAAAAATTGACTTCAGATGTTTTTCCGAATTGATTAAAAAAATTTCCGAATTTCCCTGAATTTTCCGAATTTTTCTATAAGAAAATCCGATTTCTAAATTTTTTATCTGGCAACCCTTGTGTGGGTGTGGGTCTTCTTTCTTCATCCGAACCAACACCAACACCCACACCCACACCCCACACCCACACCCACACACCCACACTCACACCCACACCCTAACTTTAAAGCTGTCTGATAACACTCCAGAGGATTCTAGTTATAGACACGCAGTAATTCATACTCACCTTCAACAGATCTGAAAGCTTAAATCATTTTATCGGAACCATGTTTAGATAGATCTGTTATAGGGTGTAAAGACTAGAATAACATTTTGTATATTACAATTCGTCGCGTCGGTTCATCGCGTTGTCCTTATACCGTGAGAACCGAAATGGATTCCGCTCCAAAAAGCGATAACAAGGGATTGTAGTTAGTTAAGAACCTCTTTTTTAGTTTGATGACTTCACTGTTTGATACATTATCACCAACAAATTCGTACATAATCACATCTAGCGAGCTACCATCTAATCTATGAGTGGTACACTTTTGCTCGCAATCAGGGCTCTCGATTGTTTTTGAGAGTGGCGGGGGCTAAAGTTTTTTTTTCTTTTGCCAGACAGTTCACAAAAACTTGGCAGACAGTCACTTATTTTTTTGGGGACTTCCCAATTTTTCATTAAAAGTGATGACCGGGGGGGGGGGGGGGGGGGGGGGGGGTAGCGCGACGAAGATACCTCTACCCCCCTCCAGGACTCAGTAAAATCTTCGGGAAAAATTGTGTCAACACAAAAATTTTTCACCGCTCATATTATCACGTGACCAGTCGACTGCAGCCGTAAAATTAAATTTCGCAGACTATATTACACATTTTTGCCAGACAGTATTAAAAATTTTCGCAGACACGCTTAAAAAAATGCCGGGGGCTAGCCCCCGGCAGCCCCCGGCACATCGTGGGGCCTGCTCGCAATCATCCGACCGTTTTGATCAATGAACATCGTTCTTCTGCTCTCAATAGTTTTGTGTAAACTAAGGATATTATCAAATTTAATTTACGATAATCTTATTTTTTTCTTTTATTTGTTTATTTGAAAAAAAATGATTGTCGTCGATTGTTCATGTTATTCTTTATTCTCTACATCTGCATGAAGCAACATACACACTACAATTAATAAATCAATTTTTCATGTTATATATTTATATTTTTACCGTTCGAATACATGAAACTTATGAAAAAAGAACTCGAACCGTATAGATCAACTTTATTATTCTATTTCATCAAGTTAAATTATTCAAAATTGAATTTACTTGAATTTAAATAAAACAAAAAAAAACAAATTTGAATCTTAAATAATTTTTTTCAAGAAACGAAAAAGTCCTAAAATTATCAAATCAAACTTAATTCTTATCTATTCTAAAATATTTTATTTAAAATTCTTAAAAATGCTTAAGAGATTGGTAATCAGTAGAACTAGTCCGAATGTGAATTATTGAAGCTAGGAAAATCCTTGAATATTCTTGATACAATCCCTAATTTATTTAACTATATCCATATAAAAAAGTTCCATTAATGCCTAGTCCGGTCAATGACTGTTGAAATCGTGACGAATCTTCAATACTGGCAAAGTTTTCGAATTTTTCCGAAGAAATTCAACAATTCTTTCTCATTCCATTAGCAAAAATGATGTTATATCTCCTATAGAATCAATAGCAACCATCCAATATTGAACATAGATTAAATTCTTTCCTTCAATTTGTATAAACATTCGAAATAATATGATATTTAGATAGTGAATTTATAAATTAATATCAACAATAACAATAAATTAAGGTAGAATTCGAATTAGTAATTGATTTGATAATTTATTGACACAATACAAAGAAAATTTTCATTTTTTTCCAGATATTATTTATTGTTATCAATTAAATTCTAATAGAAAACAATCATTAATCTATTTTATAAATAAAATAGATATTCATATTAAATAGAAAACTTTTGAGCATTTAAAATTTCAATTGTTATCATATTCTACACTTTATTTTTCTTCTAATTTAGATTCTAATGAAGAATTCTAACTCAAACAAAACTAACCAACAATACATTATAGCATTAAAATGTCATCATACGTAAGCAATACTTTATGATAATTTAGAAAATATCTTCAAATATATTCTCGAATTATTTTTTTGATTTCACTAATTACAATCCCATAATAAAATATACTCATTTTATTTGTCTAGTTCATATTTAATTTACTTCGGTTCTCCTATTTCTTTTACTTAAGAGATATTTCAATTCTAGACTCTCTAAATCAACAAAACAATAATAAAGAATTGAGATATAATGTTTTCCTTTGTTCGTTACTGAAAAAAATGAATAAGCAAACATGTTTTATTTGAAGATAAGCCCAAAGCTTAAAAATAGAAAAAAAACAATTTTTCTCGTCTTGTATTCATTTCTATAATATCTATGAATTAATCTATTCTTTCATCATGAGACTAAGCTCGAATCAAGAATTTCAAAGTATAATAGAATAGATTATCATTTATTTGAATTTAATCTATTAAATCTCGAATATTTTACGAAAAAAATATTCGAGATAATACTACGAATTTATAATGATAATTTTCTATTTTTGATTTAAAGCATCTAATCTATAAAAGAATTGATTATTTCAATCATCATTCAGCTCTCTCTCTTCGTATTTTCTCTAACGAGGGCATTAACTATATGTCTATGTTACATAATGATGCCTTTGTTTCTAAACAAATATAAATCAAATGTTTATCATTATCAATATTCATTTTCATTTTCATATTATTATCATAGAATAATTTTCTTTTTTTTTTATAGATAAATTTTGAATCTCGATTACTCGATTAGAAGATTAATGGATGAACAATTTAAGACTCCAATAAGTGATCTAGACAAACGAATACGACTCGCAGAATTAGAACTAGCTAAAGAAAAAGAAATCACAAAACAAAAAAGAATAGATGAAAATATCGAAGAAAAAAAATTAAAACAACTAGAAGAAAAAAAGAAAAATATTACAACTTGAACTCAAAAGAAAAAACCAAGAAGAAGATATTCAAGCACAAAAGCGACTCACGACAGATGGTAAACAAATGATATCTATATCAAATGATCTTTTGAGTTCAGTATTAGATGGTTTGGCTTATTACAACCTGTATGTAGTAAAAAATTTAAGTCAGTTCGATATTAAACCTTTATTAAATAATGAAAAAAATATTGATAATGATATGGTCAAGATTTTTGAAAATTATTTTGATCAATTCGAGTCAGATATTAATATGTCAGAAAATGAAATTCAATTTGCAATGGATAATTTAATGCATAAATTATTTGATAAATTTAAGAATTTAACATCATTAAAATATTTAAACACAACTCAACATAAATATCTAAAACAGAGACTACGTCCTAATTGTACTTTTATATATAAAAATATTAATATTAATATTGGTGGTGAATATGCATCTTTACAAGATTTTGTTATTTGTCTTGGTAAACTAAAATCATCAAGTGAGTGTATTGATTCATCCGATCATATTGGACAATTATGCCATTATTTGGCTGATGTATTAGATGTGCAAAATCGTCAAAAAATCTATGGCTTTATAACAAATCTTCGATCTATAAGATTTTATTGTGTTATAAAACAAACAAAACAGCCTTTCTATAGCTATTACCAAAGTGATATATTAGAAATGTTTTATATTTCATCTGAATTAACATCGACTGCTAAGAAACAAAAATCAAAAAAAAACAATCAAAACTATGTCTTAATAAAGATACAATAGAAATATTTATAAAGTTTTTAACAATGAATCCTGACTTTTATCAATATACAATCTTAAATATAAATCCTGATGATGATTTATATGGTGATGAATTTCATATAAAACAAAGATTAGGAATAGGTGTTACTTCAATCGCCTATCTATTAGTTAATCAAGATGATGATCAACCAGCTGCTACCCGAATATCTCGTGTAATGAAAATTTCTAAAGCTGCGAGCTATGAAAGAATTTTTATGAACGAAATAAAAATATTACAACAATTAAAAGAATTGACAAATTCAAATAATTTTAATTTATTTTTTTCAAATATTATAAAATCGTCACCTGAAGGTAATATTTTTCTATTGAAAAAATTGATTGCGTTTTCTAGAATTTTTTCAATTAATTGAAAATCTACTAACAGAAAGAGAATAGAGAAAATTTTGTTTGATTTTCAAAGAATTTATACAAAGTATAATTAAAGAAAAATTTCAATCGAATTTATTTGAATAAGAATAAGAATAAAAGAAATACAAATAGATATTAGAATAAATGAATAATTAAAAAATTAATTTTTCTTTTATAAGATCAAAATCTACTATGAATTATGTATTTATTTTTCTTTTTATTAATTTTATAAAAAAAAAAAAGAATTCGAAAAACAAAATCGAGATCTAAATTTAAAAAATAATTGAAAATAACATTTTCTAATGTTAATGGTTTTTTTTAAAGATTTTTATAAATAATAATAATTAGCAGAAAAGAAAACTACATGTAAGTTCAGATTTATTTCTATGTAAACAAAATATAAAAATTGAAATGAAAAGATTTTAATCGAAATTCTAATATAATATGATAAAATAAAATTTTTCTTTTTTTTTTTCATTATTACATTTATATGCATAAATTGCTGAAGGTTTGATTAGATTAGAAACAAGAAAAAATACTGAATATATTTATCATACGTCAAATGAATATGATTTGATTCTTTGTTTTTTTTTTCAAGATTAGAAAATGTTTTTCTTTTATTTATGAATGAAGAGACCAAATAATTTCTTGGAATTTTTCAATAATTAATAGAAAAATTCAAATATAAATTATTGAACAAAGATTTTCTCGAATATTTTATTAAGCATTTCGAAAAATTAAGATTGAATTTCAAAATTGTTTTGTTTAATGTATTAAATTTGAAATAAATGAAATTCATAAGATTTATTCTAATATTTTGAATATGAATTTAGATAAATTATATAAAAGACTGTTCAAATAAAAAAAAATAATAATAAGTTTGTTAATAATTGATTGCTTATTTTTATTAAGTTAATATGCTAAGTAAATGAATTGAAATAGATAATTGAATCAATAAGAATTAATACATTATATTTTATTCTATAATAACAATAATAAATTGTTTAACATAGAAAAAATTCTTAATTTATGTTAAATAAAGTATTAAAATAAGTCAAATCTCTAGATCAATTAAAAATAAATCAATCAAAATTAGAAAATTTTTATGATTAAAGTTCAATAGAATGTCCTTCGATTATTGTTAGTTATATCTTGAAAGATATTTCTTATTTGTTTTATATTTTTTAACTCTAATTAAAGAAAACATTTCCGAAATTTCAATACAAAAACTCTAAAATCTAAATTATGAATTGTTTTAAATCATGAAATAATCAAAATAAATCATTTAATTGAAATTAGATTCTTATTTATTAAAATAATAAAAAATATTTTGTTTTTTGTTCAACATTTTTTTTTTGTCAGCATCATTCAAATAATATTTTATCTTGTTCATAATATATTTTGATTTTCTTTTTAGGTAAATTCATATTAGTTGAAAATCAATTAATATCTTTAACATCAATAAATTTACATCAAGCAGAACAACTTATTAGCATCATTGAACATTTATATAAATGTGGTATCATTCATCGAGATATACGTCCACAAAACCTTATGTTCGATGAAACAGGTAATCATTTAAAATTGATTGATTTCGGATTCGCTACAACATTGGAAAATAATGAAAATACAAAAGAATTAGGAATTGAAGGCGTTGTTTTATATGCTGGTCTAAAATTTCTGGAACTTTATTTACAAGCGATACATAATGCGGCAATCATTCGTACATATAAATATGAAAGAACGTTTGATCTAACATGTGCATTAAATGTTATAATGTATATGAAGGATGAAAAGATTGCAAATAATTTCAAGTTATTGAAAAATTTATCGTTTGTAGTAAGAGCTGCTGCATCATATGAATTTTGGTTTGTTATAAAAGAGAAGAATAAAAATTATAATGGTTTATTAAATTTAATCGACAATTTATCAGATTTTGAAACTATCAAGAATCGTATTAAAGTACTGTTCTAATATACGTAAAAGTCAAAGTGATTCATTTAACTCATAGATAATAATTAATTAGTCATATTTTTTTTTGTTTCATTATTATTATATTTTCTGTTTCTTGTTATTTTTTTTTTGAATCTTGTACTACTTATTTTTGATTAATAAATATAAAGAACATTATTTTGATAGAGAAAAAAAATGACTTGTTTTATTTTTTATCGAATCTGATTGAATATGAAGAAATCTTAATGATTAATTCATCTTTCAATAAGATTCTCTCTTTTCGAATAGCATCTATAAATATCCTTAAATAGGATTACTTCATTTATTAAGATTTCTTTTTTCATTTTCTTGTTAAAAAAAAAGAAAAGATAAATACTAGAATATAAATTATGAAGATTCATTCTAATAATAGTTAATATTGATTAGTTCATGCTACTATTTGAACAATGATGAGTCTTAGAGAACAATGATTTTTAAAATAAAATATGAAAACAAAATAGGAAATAAATGTGTCAAAGTATAATAAATGTCAAATAAAAAAACTCAATAAAAAATTGTTTTGAAAGTATATAATATGAAATTAACTTTATTTACTTTATGATGTTTTCTCTTTTTCTAAATAAGCAGTTTTTGACTTGACAAAAATACAATGAAAATTTTCTAAATTTGTGTGATATACATCGGAGATGTATACAACAAATGAGAGTTGCTCTCCAGTTCTTCAACAAGTCATACAACGACCATTCACAGTTCACTAAAGATAAAGATTTTGTTTATATATTGTTTTTAATAGAGATATTTACTGCCGCAATGTCTCCAGATAATTAGTATCTAATATTTAGTATTGTATATAAAGATGAGAATAATATTAATAAAGTTATTAAAATAAGTTGACTTAACAAAATTAGACTATATAAATTAGATATAGCCATTAGATTTCATTAAAGAACATTAAAAAGAACAATATATCATAGAGAATCATCTTACTAACAAATTCTTTGAAATTTTCTCATTTTAGTCTTTAGATTTTGATTTGTGATAAAGCATTCAAATTATTAAAGAATATCTTCAACAGGACATACATATAAAAGAAATGTAAGAATGATGTCATTGATTGCTAGAAAATATTGCTCTATATATACCAAAAGTTTATCTCCTATAGGAGATCTTAAGTTAAAAAGTGTATTTTTGAAACTTGAATTACCGAAAAATTTCAATGAACTCAACTCGTTTGTTTCGATTGAAAATATAAAACTCAATATATCTTCAAAAGACAATATAACACAGCTGCATAAAACACGGTAATCTTTGTAAAACTTTTGAGAATTGTAAAGCTTATTCTATTTAGTTTTTCAAGATAAAAATATGTGTATCATTGTTCTTATAGAGAAGACCAAATCATGTTGCTGCTATAATAAATTGTAAAAGAAGAAATAGTCCAATTGATTTTCGTTATTAAGTTTCAAATTTTTTGTGATTCATTATAAAAATAACATTTTAAATCAAGAAAATTATTTATACAAATATAAAAAAAAGAAAACAAAGTAAAACAACAAAAGTCAATAGCGTATTACTCTTAATCCAAAATAAAATCATTAAGTATAGTTGAAGAAAACAAAAAACAGAGTTTTAACTTTGTCTTCCATATACTTCAAAGAATATTATTTTATATTTCAAAAAGTAAACTACACATATAAGCCTATAGAAAGATGTGAAATATTATACGTATGTATTTTTCAGAATTAATTAAAAGGCATTAGCAGGAGAATTTAAAGAAATTGTTTACTTCTTTTTCATATATGAGTACTAAGTAGATGTTCGATTCTCTATTATCCTTAGTATAACATAAAAAGAATATGAATGTTGCTGCATTACATAAAAATGTGTCTCATCTTTTCCAATTTCATCTTCGAAAGACTCTAAATCTAAATATTACAATAGTTAAATCGCTACCGGATGGCCACTCGTATGAAGAAACAGATCTACATGTCTGATTTAAGCATCGTCTTTATGAAAGCTTACTGCTTTTAGAAGTAAGATTTTATTTAATTAACTTAATAACAAAAGATATTTCGTGTTAATTAATTAACCTAGCAAAAATATTAGAATCATTAAGAAATAGGGTAATACAACGTTAAAGTCATATTAATACATCTACTGAAAGGATATGATCACAATAAAACATATGACTGCAGTTGTCATAGTGAAAACATTGTAAATAGTCACAGATTGTACTGTAATTTAATTCATAGCAATAATCTCTCTTGATTTAGGACAATATATGCTTATGTGGCAGTAGACTCATGCAAAGACAGTCATAGATCCCTGCTATATTATGTTAAAGCTTTTTTGAGCAGACAAAAACGAAAAAATGTAGAGCAGAAGTTTTGCACCAACTACAAATTTCAGAAAATGTTTTCCCTTTTCAGAAATTCTTAATTTTGTTTTGCTTTTAGAAAATTTTCAGTGCTTCACAAGTAATAGTCAGTATGCAATTTTCGTATACTAATTGTCTTACACTACCGTTTTTATGTAATAAACGTTTTCACAGGTCGGCTAGTCGCTTCCAAATTTTTCAAAGGTGAATAAATGTAATAACAACGATCCATTTTCAATATGATCAAAAATCCTTTTTCCCATTTAACAAAGCAGTTACAGAGAGAAGAAAACTTTTTTCATATTGAAATAAGAGGAGAAGAGAAGACAATCGATGATCAATCGCATGCCTTATATACAGATATAAGGTATTTTCAATATATTATAGAAAAATAAATAAATAGAATGAGAAATAACAATAAAAAAATCATAAAACAGGTATATTTGGCTACTTTTTTCTTCTTTGCTGGATGATACGAATTTAATAATCTTTTTTCTTCTTCCTCTTCGACTTCGTCTTCTAACAAGTCTGTTTTAGCTTGTTCTAACCAACGAAAAAAAAATCTTTTGTTGACATTTCAATAATCGCATGTCCTAAACAATATATTTTATTTATTATTATTTTTCTTCATGAAAACTTTTATTTAACCTTCAATGTCAGATTGATCTGGATGTTTAAGCCATTGAAAAAAAAAAGCATTTTCACTGACACATTCTTCATCATAGAATATATCGAATAGTAGTAGAGTCAGTTCTATAATATTCATTAATTTTAGTGTTAAAATTTATTTTTGAACATACTTGGTGGATGTTCAAGTTTATTAATAAAATATTGAATAGCATAAACAGCTTGAATTTCTGTTTCTATTTTATGTTGAATAATAGCATTAAGTACAGTCATTCGTTTTTTTTTTGCAATATCTTCTTGAATTTTCTTTTGTGGGCAGTGACGTATCCAGGATTTTTCAATATGTTGAATCTCGATTTCTGAGCATGGGATCCAGATAAAACTGATGGAGGATGGTGTTGGATCTAAATGATGGAATTTTATCAAAAAAAATTTGCACCCGGAGTTTGCGAAAAAAATTAGCATTTTCCTGATCCCCCTCCTCTAAAATTTTTTGCTCTTAGGAGTATCATGGTTTTTAGAATTTCATAGGAAGCTACACCGAATTTCATCGACAGATTTCAAAGTTCGCCTAAAAGTATGTAACCGTTCCACAGTTATGACGTTTTGAATTTTTGCTACATGTGAAAACAATTTTTCCATAATTTCAAAATGTCATAACTGTGGAATGATTGCATATTTTTTGACGAGATTTGAAATCTGTCGATGAAATTCGGTGTAGCTTCCTATGAAATTCTAAAAATCATGATACTCCTAAGAGCAAAAAATCTTAGAGGAGGGGGATCAGGAAAATGCTAATTTTTTTTCGCAAACTCCGAGTGCAAATGTTTTTTGATAAAATTCCATCATTTAGATCCAACACCATCCTCCATGAGTTTTATCTGGATTCCATGCTCAGAAATCGAGATTCAACATATTGAAAAATCCTGGATACGTCACTGTTTGTGGGTCACGATTAATTAAACATGCTTCCAAATAAGATAAAACAATATTTCGAATATAAAATTTTTCATTTGCATCCATATGCTATTTATATTACAACAAAACAAAACAAAAAAAAAAGAAAAGAAAATAAATTATGAAAAATAAAAGAATAAACCTTTTGAATATATGTTATTATATGTGAATCGTTTACTGCTCTATTTTCATCATTAACAGATTTGAATAATTTAACAAGTTGTTCATCAGCATGTAAACAATTTGTTTCTTTTAATTGTGATGTTGAAGATTGGTTTTCGGATGTATTAAATAACCAATCAAATAAGATTTAATAAAATCATTTGAAGAAAAACCGCATGATTGACAACATATTTCTATATGGAATTGAGACTAGAAAGGAATTCAGGATAATTTTCACGCCAAAATAAATTCAAAGTACTTTATTAGATTATTTCAATGAAATTTATTTATTAAATAAAGAAATATTCTGACTGTTCTATATGCAATTGACGAAACTAGATGAACATTCAACTGTGTTACATTAAGTGATTAAACTCTTTTTAAAGAGTGTAAATGATGGCAAAGATAACAATAACATACAAAAAATAACGCATAAAAACACTGCTGAATTTTAATGAAAACAAAAATGGTAAAAATTGCAACTTTTTTCGATTTTTATTTCGTTTAAAACTTGAACCCATTTTAACGTGTTTTTTTTCTCTCTGAGAAGGTATCAAATTTTTCGAATATCTCCTCTGACAAGGTCTTCTAGCGTCATAAGGTTTTAGAAAAATCGAATTTCCGATATTTGACTCGACCCTTTTCATAGAAGTTTTCAACGAAGTCACTCATAGATATGGAAAAATATTGTAAAACCCCCATCTTTTTGGGATTTTCTCGTGAAAGTAAATATTTGAAAAATTCAATAGATTAGTCAAATCTAAATGGAAAACTTCAATATTTGTATTATGTTTATCAGAGTAATATGTACTATCTACAGAAAAAATAATCATTACTGTTGAAAAAGGCACCTGAAGTAGTTATTGCATGAGTAAATGAGTAGAAGATATATTCTATATTGAAATATTCAATTTGCTGAAACAATTTCTAAATGAATCCTTAAATATTTTATCATTGTTAGAATAACTTTCAAATATTTCTTCAATTGCCTTGCTCATCTCAGAAACAAAAAAGAGATCAAAATTATGAAAAGTAAAATAAAAGATAAATGTGAACCTTTTCATTTGTTTATTTATCAACTTTGAATAGTATTTGTACTCTCAAGTTAATAATGAAAAGATATTAAATTAAGTATATAAATCTCAATAGATTAATATCTATTTCAATTATAAAAGAGAATTAAGCTTTTTCTTTTTGTTTCGAATTAATGTTTTCATAGAAATTCTATAGAGATCTACAATTTTCACCATTTTAAAGAAGAAATAAATCTGTATTGAATGTTGGAATATAAGATTTTTCTGAAAAATAAAATATGATGTAATATGAAATCTTTGGAATAATAATATACAGTAGTAGACCAGAATCGTTAACTAATATTTAGTAATTTATATAAGTTCGATATGAAAATGTTCAATAATAACGAGTTATTCACATATTTACTAAACCTTTTTGGCAAATTTTTAATGGAAAATCGACTTTCTTTTTTGTGACTTTTCTGATGAAAAAAAGGCATCTTCGAAATCTATTTAAAGTCATCGATTTTTTAAAAATTTAGAGAAAAAAATCTTTTACTTAAGATTCGATGTTGTTTCATATCCTCTTTTAAATAGTGAGAAAAG